CTTACTGAGGAATGGTTCTCTAAGTAGCTCACTGGAAAACTGTATAAGGATAAGCAGGGAACTGTTTCCATGGCAGAACAGCAGGACAAGAGAAAGAGAGAGAGAGAGAGAGAGAGAGAGAGAGAGAAATCAAGAAATCTGCCTGGCTTGTTTCATTGTCAGTATATTTTGTTTTTTTCTTCTTGGCCTGTCAAACTCTTCAGTAAAAATTCTTCGTTTCCTTCTTGAAAGCTAGCTGTTCCTAACTGCGAGGGTTTGCAAGCCAAATGTGGGATGAAGACTGGGAAGGCTAACTTCCATCTAATTCTGCTGTTCTCCTTCTCTGTATGGTCCTCTCACCAATATCTGGGCCTGCTTCCTCACTCTGAAAAGCCTCTCTCTTAATCCTTCCCAGAGAATAATTTCCAGTGTTAGCCCCCCCCCCCCCCCCCCCCCGGGGGGGGCGCGGAACGCCAGGGAGTAGGGCAGTCAAGGCTTTGCATTAGGTTGTTCAGGAGATCTGAGATCTAACTGCTTTTTAAACTGACTTCCAACCAGCTCTCATGTTTTTAGTTCCTCTTTTGCCCTCATTTACAGAGATATCTGGTCCTGCCAATTGCTGAGTCTTTGGTGGGGTTGCCGCTTTGCAAACTGGTTGGAATTTTGTGCTCTCCCTAGTGCTGGCTTGGAATTTAGCTCTCTTGGGTCTGCTAAATCAGCTCCCTTGGCCCATTTGTTTTCTAGCAACCAGATGCTGCTGCTGCTTTTCCCTCCTGTCCCTTCCACCTAGGTGTGGTTATACCTTCAAAACATGCCTTTACTGCTTTTTATGGGAGTTTGGTGGTTATAAAATCTGTCATTCTTAACTGGAAGTTTGAATTTAAGTTTTGATTTTATTAATTTAGGAGTATTATGAAATGTGTGTGTTTTATTTCCACTGTAGAGGTCTCTTTCTCTCTCTTGCATGGACACCCTCACTCTTTCATTTTGTTTTTAATTTCTGAATCTTTTTTTCTTTTGCAGTGAATGTGTCTCTATAATATCAAAAAAATTTGGAAAAGATGAAGAACAATGAGTATTTTTTTTTTTTCTTCATTTATGTATCACTCAAAGCTATGTATTAAGAGCCTGAATGTTCACAGCTGTTCTATTTTCTTGGCTGGTTGTTATTTATCTTATAAAATATTTCTTTATTCCCTTTTGTCCTTATCACTTTGAATTCTATTTTATTTGATTTGGATGTTGCTAAATATACTTTATTTTTGCTCATATTTGCTGGCTTATATTTTGTCCATTGTTTTTTTTTTTTCAGCTTTTTTGTTTATTGCTCTTACCTTTTTAAAGCCAATTTTTCATTTTCTCTCTTTTAAGAGACAGACAAACCTGACCTATTCACATTTATTATGACAACTGAAATGTTTGTACCTATTTCTTGCTATCTAATTATTTCTTTTACATTTTCAATTCGCCTTTCTCTCTTTTTATCCCATCCCTCATTTTCTGCCCATTTGTTGAACTGGTCATATTTAATTTGTTACATTTTTTTCTGTCTTATGTTTTAAAAGTAATTCTTTCTATTTCTATTCTATTCCATTTCTATTCAGAGCCAAGAAACCCACAAGTAAAGAATTGGGATAACCAGACTTAAAGTGAGTCCCCAAACAATAGAAATGGACCAGGCTGATCAACAAATAATGTGGCAGTTTTCATGACCCGAGAAACATTTTAAGCAGAAGCTAAAATCACTAAGATGAAAAAACCTGGAATCCTCTCTTAGTAAAACTGTAAGTCTGTCTGCTGAAAACTATCAGAAACATGTATTGGGAAAAGCTGAAGGGACAGGACACATTTTCAGATTCTGTTTTAAAGTATTTTTGCCTAGTCTTTCCATGTGAGCTTGTGCAGGCCACACCCTCTTCCTCCATCTCTATGTTCTATGTCCTCTGCTGACCCTCTTGCTAGTGAAAAGGGGAGTGGAAGACATAGGACTTTGGAGAGAGAACAAGAGTGTGGACTAAGAGTGATCTTTATCATGTATTATGAGCCCTGAACAGCATCAAGAGTAGGTGGACATCCCTCCTCTGGACAATTACATCTGCTAGAGAGATGACAGGCCATCTGTCAGGAGGATACTCACTGCCTGGGCACTCTGTCACTGTAAACAGTGAGCAGGACACCTTTTTCCAGGAACCAGATATCGAGAATTAGTCCATTACATGTAGTTCATGCAATTAAACAGAAGTTTGTGGTTTATTTTGCCAGCAGACATGCAGGTTTGAAATCATATTGTATAAGCTAAATCTGACTAATTATCTGACTAATCATCTCCTTGAGATTGGGAACCTGTGCAATGCGGCTGCCATAGCAGTCAAGTTTTTGGGGAAGGGAGATTATGGGGAGGAATACTATTCCAAGAGGATCTGGGAGTGTTAGCTAGGCCCTGAGAGGCCAAAAGAGGAGCCCTGGGTGTGACACTGGCATCCCTTGGAAGATACTCGCTCCTTTCAGGGATCCCATGCCTCCCTGGAGATAAATGTCCTGGTTTAGTAAGGGTTGGGCCTGAGGGCTTCTCCTGCGTCCAGGCTGGTGTCTGGGGATGTTAATACCTCCATTTTACTAGGTGATTCCACCAGAAGCCATTGAAGTCTGGAAAAGGTGTCAGGTGAGGGAGAGGAGTATCTGATTCAGGAAATCTGGAAGATGGAGATTCCTTATGGAGCTGCAGCTAGTGCGTGAGGGCCACTTCAGGGTTGCTACAGTACAGGGGAAGCCTGTGCCAGTGGCCTATATGCCATCTGGGTGACCTCATCTGGCTCACCCACAACACAATGCAGTTGTCCCAGGAGATGGTGCCATGGACTGGGCCAGGCAGGGGATGACAGTAGGAGCCACAGGTAGGATCCTGAGATGCTGGGGACCCCAGAAACTTTGGTCATTGTTATCAGAGTGACATTTCACCAATAGGTCGGCCAGAAAAGCCAAGACACCATTGAAGGGCCAAGGCTGGTCTTCAACACAAAAAATAGAGACCAGAAGGAAAATGGCAGCAGGCAAACCAGAGGTGTGGTGCCCATCTGGGGAGCAGGCTCAGGGTCAGGGCCAGGGGAGTAGGGGAGCAAAGCAAATCAAAGGAAGGACCGAAGGAGCATGAGAGTACCCAGACTTAAGTACCCCATGTGCTAGGATTTGTGCTTTGTTATGCATATGTCCTGTAATATAATCCTTTGTGTACCTCTGTGACCGGTAATAATGTCTTCATTTTAGCAACGGTAAAACCTAAAGTAAAAAATAAAATTTAAGTGACTTGTCTCAAGTCACACAAATTCAGATCTCTCTGACTCCAAAGTTCCTAGTAGTTCTATTCTCTGGGAATTGTTTTTATTCCTTATAAAACTGGGGAGGCAGGACAAGATCAGGGTTTCCTAAGCTTTAGTTTAGATCTGCCTTCCTAATTTCTGCCATACTCACCTCTTATTTCTACTATTATTTATGTAAAAGTTTTCCTTAAGCAGAGTCATTTGTTATATTTTTTATTGTGGTAACGTAATTTACCATTTTAACCATTTTAAGTATATAGTTTACTATATACTGTAACGTAATTTACCATTTTAACCATTTTAAGTATATAGTTTACTATATACTGTAACGTAATTTACCATTTTAACCATTTTAAGTATATAGTTTATTGGCATTGAGTACATTCACATTGCTGTACAACACATATTATTTTTAACATATTTTAGAAAGGGAAACATGGTATCACTCTCATGAATGGAAGCCAGTATTATTTTCTATAAACAGAAATTAACCATTAGAATAAATACAGTGAAGACAAAGTTATTAACTTGCAGCTCGTTATTGTTGCTACAGAAGGCTCTGAGATGAGACCTGCTTTCCCATACCCACCCCTAATTTTTTTCAAGGGAGGATCCCAACCAAGTGTTGGAGAAGTGTTAAAGAAGCACCAGACCGATGCTTCCTCCTTGATGTACTCAGAAGAACTGAAAGAGGGGCGAAGTTTAGATGCATTATCTCACTGTGAGGTTGACCTGATTCATGCTGTGCCCAGGTACCTTTCTCTCACCTTGTCCATCATGAGTATCCTTCTCTGGCTCCTACCCCAGATCCCACTACCACACTGTGGGGACTGCTGAGATGCGCACAGGCTCCTGTCCACCAAGGCTCTGTGACTCCTGACCCTGGAAAAGAGAGCTCTTTTTTTCTGACTTGGAGCAGTGACTGGATGAATCCTTTGGGATGAGTCCTGTAGGTTCCCTTCCCCATTTTTCCCAAGAAAAATAAGGGTCTCTCCCAGATGTCCATTCTGTCTGTGAATCTTATAACAAGGACTAGATTGCCCAAGCTTTGTAAGCCCAGCTGCCTTGGAAGGCAACACTTCATTATGACATGTGCACAACAGTGACCAGGCCACACCACGGAAGGGGGAGGTGACTAGCTCTGAATGAATAAACTTAGTGTCATTTGGGTGGAAAGGCAGACATGTTAAACATCTGAGGTAGATCTTATAGTGCTGGAGGAAACAGAAGCAGCTGCTGAGAGGCAGAGGATTTCACAGGAAGGGTTCACAGTGAGCCAGATTTCAGTTGGAGGTTAGATTTCTCTGGCTACCATTTCCCTGGACAATGGAAGCAATGAAATGTGTACACTTGTGTCTCCTTGAAAGCACAAAGAGGCTGAAAAGAGCACAGGAAAGACCTATTTCCTTAAGCTGTGCACAGATGTTCTCTATCAACATCATAAGGAAACATGTTTATTACTGAAGCTGTGGATATGTTTGAATAAAACAGGTTGTGACACAAGGAACGTAGGGGCTGAGGATCAATATCACTTTAGAAATCCTGGTGAAGTGTCACTCTGAACAGAGTCAGTGGCTTGGGTGCTTGAGTGGTGGAGGTCGCGAAGGGAGGGTCTCCCTGCATTCCCCTATCTCCTGGGCATAGTTAACTTTCCCTTGGAGCCTTGTAGTGATGCCCACTAAACACGGGCCATGTGCTTCTCACCTGGGGCTTGGTCTCATCTTTGTCCTTGTAGTAGAAAAGCTGATCCCCACGGAGCACGAACCAACGCTGCTGCCAGTTTTTCATGATGCTTCTCTGCTTCTTCAGCCAGCCTGCCTTCAGCACGGGGCCCAGCTTTTGGGGGCAGGACAACCGCCCGGGGCTCCGGCTCTGCTCACCCATCACCAGGCTTTTGGAGCGGGCTGGAAGTCAAGAATATACGCAGTAAAAAGGAAGGATGCATGTATAACACCATTTGCCCTCCCTGGTGATTCTCTGATACCTCGCCCCACTCAACTGGAATGTCTGGCTGAACCTCTTCCAGTGACTCCTCTATATAAGCAGCCTGCCTCATCTTGTGCTGCAGACTTTCTTAAAATCTCTCAAAGGTCCACGAATCCCTAAAAAGCAGTGGCTTGCCTTAGCATGCCCTGTACCTCTTGCTTAGCTTCCCCAAGCCCGTTGCAAGTGGCAACTGGTCTCAACTTGCATTGTAATGCTCATCAGGTAACCCCAAGTCCGGCATAACTAGTCTTAGTTTAGAACATAGTCTTAATTAAGTGGCACAACTGGCAGCTTGCCTCAGTTCACATTGTGGTGGCCACCAAAGGGTCCCAAGCCCGATACCAGTGGCAACCAGCCTCAGTTCACAAAATAGCCTCTCCAAGCCCAGCATAAGTGGCAACTAACTGCAGATCACTTTGTAGCCCCTACCAGACAGCCCCAGGCCACGCACAAGTGGAGGCTAAACTTTACCAACACAGAAGCTCCTCACAAGAGGCTCCCAAAACAACATACCTGGTGGCCAGCTTAAGGCCACATCGGAGCACCACCCAATCAGCTCCACAAAGACACACCTGAAGGTTGAACTCGGCTGGCAGTAGAGCCCCACTGAAGAGACTCCCATTTCATGGGATCAGCCCCTGCACAACAGCTCATCTGCTATAGTCATAGCCAACTCTCATAGCTGTTAAGCCTGAGGGTCACCCACTGACATGCGAACAGCAATCAAGGTTCAAATACAACAGGAGGGCACACACAACTCACATAAAGGACACTCCTGGAACACCCAGCTCAAGAGTCCTGGGCTCCACAGAACACCTACTACATAAGGCTCCACAGAACACCTACTACATAAGGCTACTCTGCCAAGGTCAGGAGGTATAGCAGATCTACTTAATGTGTTAAAACAAACACAGGAAGTCAGCCAAAATGAGGAGACAAAGAAACATGTCTCAAATGAAATAACAGGACAAAACTCCAGAAAAATAACCAAACAAAATGGAGGCAAGCAATCTGTTAGATGCAGAGCTCAAAACACTAGTTATAAGGATGCTCAATAAACTTAGGGGAAGAATAGATGAATTCAGTGAGGACTTTAATGAAGTGATAGGAAACACAAAAATGGAGCTAGAAAAAAATTTTAAAAAGTCAGAAATGAAGAATAAAATAATTAAAATAAAGAATACATTAGAGGGAATCAAGATTGGATTGGATGAAATAGAGGATTGAATCAGCGAACTAGAAGATAAGGTAGCAGCAAACACCCAATCAGAACTTAAAAAGAAAAAGAGTTAAAAAAAAATAGGGATAGTTTAAGGGGCTTCTGAGACAACATCAAGCATACCAACATTTGCATCATAGGGGTACCCAAAGAAGAAGGGAGAGAGCAGGGGATTGAAAACTTATCTGAAGAAATAAGGATGGAAAACTTCCCTAACATGGGGAAGGAAATAGACATATAAATTCAGCAAGCATAGAGAGTCTCAAACAAGATAAACCCAAAGAGGACCACAGCAAAACACATCATAATTAAAATGCCAAAGTTTAAAGACAAAGAGAGAATCTTAAAAGTAGCAAAAGGAGAGCAGTTAGTTAAGTGCAAGGGAGCTCCCATAAGACTGTCAGCTGATTTCTCAATAGAAACTTTGCAGGCCAGAAGGGAATTGTGCAAAATATGCAAAATGATGAAAGATAAAGACCTACAACCAAGATTGCTCTATCCAGCAAGACTCTCATTTAAAATTGAAGGAGAGATAAAGAGCTTCCCAGATGAGAAAAAGCTAAAGCAGTTCTACAGAAGTTTAACACCACTAAACCAGTATTACAAGAAATGTTAAAGGGACTTCCTTAAGAAGAAAAGAAAATATCAGAACTATGAATAAGCAAATACAGGAAAAAAAAAAATTCTCGCTAACAAAGGCAAACACTTAATAAAAGCAGTAAATCCATCAACTAAAGCTACTACAAAGGTTAAAAGAAAAAAGTAGGAAGACCATATGTAACTAAAACAATAAGTTAAGGGATACATACAAACACATACACAAAAGTAAAAAATAATGACCAAAACACAAATGCGGAGGAGGTGAGTAAAAATTGTAGTGATTTTAGAATATATTCAAACTTAAGTGACCATCAACTTAAGATAGACTGCTATAGACAGAGCTTGGTATATGTGAAGCACATGATAACCATAAACCAAAATTCTATGAGAGATATAAAAGAAATAAAGAGAAAGAATCCAACCATGCCACTACAGAAAGTCACTGGCATACAAGAGATGAGAGCAAGAAACTAGGAAAGGAAGAGGACTACAAAACAATCAGAAAACAATAAAATGGCAATAAGTATATGCCTATCAATAATTACGTGAAAAATAGATTAAATGGTGGCTGAATGGATTGAAAAAAAAGACCCATCCAAATTCTACCTACAAAGACCCACTTCAGATTGAAAGACACACACAGACTGAAGTAAAGGAATGAAAAAAGACATTGATGCAAATGGAAACTGAAAAAAAGCTAAAGTAGCAATACTTACATCAGACAAAATAGACTTTAAAACAAGGTCTGTAACAAGACACAGAAAAGGGCATTTCATAATGGTAAAGGGATCAATCCAACAAGAGGTTTTAACTCTAGTAAACATCTATGCATTCAACTTAGGAGCACCTAAATATATAAAGCAAATATTTACAGACATGAAGAGATAGACAGTAATACAGTAATAATCAGTGACTTTAACATCCCATTACATCAATGGATATATCATCCAGACAGAAAATCAACAAGGGAACAGTGGCCTTAAATGACCCATTAGACCAGATAGTCTTAATTGATATTTTTAGGACCTCCCGCTCAAAAGAAATAGAATATACATTCATTTCAAGGGCACATGAAACATTAGCCAAAATAGAACATATGTTAAGCAACAAGTCTCAATAAATTAAAGAAGAGTGAAATCATATCAAGTATCTTCTCCAATCAAAATAATATGAAACTAGAAAACAATTACAAGAAGAAAACTGAAAAACACACAAACACACGGAGGCTAAATAGCATGCTACTAAACAATGAATGAGTTAACAATGCGATCAAGGAAGAAATCAAAAGATACCTTGAGAGAAAGGAAAATGAAAACACCACAACCCAAAATCTATAAGAAACAGCCAAAGCAGTTCTAAGAGCAAAATTTATAGCAATACAGGTTTACTCAAGAAACAAGAAAAATCTCAAACAACTCTAAAGAACTAGAAAAACAAGAACAAAGCCCAAAGTGAATAGAAAGAAGGAAATAATAAAGATCAGAGAAGAAATCAACAAAATGTAGTCTAAAGAGAACAATAGGAAAGATCAATGAAATCAAGAGCTGATTCTTTGAAAAGTTAAACAAAATTGATAAAATTTTAGTTAGATTCATCAAGAAAAAAGAGGGCCTGAATAAATGAAATCAGAAATGAAAGAAGAGAATTGATAACCGACACCACAGAAAGACAAAGGATTATTAGGAGATACTATAAACAAGTCTATGCCAAAAAGTGGAAAGAAATGAATACATTCATAGAAACGTACACTCTTGCAAGACTGAATTAGGAAGAAACAGAAAATGCAAACAGACTGATAACTACTAACAAAACTAAATCAGTAATCAAAAAACTCCCAACAAACACAACTCCTGGACCAGATGGCTTCACAGGTGAATTTTACCAAACATTTAGAGAAAAATTAATACCAATCCTTCTCAAACTATTACAAAAAATTGAAGAGGAGGGAAGGCTCCCAAACTCATTTTATGAGGCCAGCATTACCTTGACACCAAAACCAGACAAAGACATTACAAAAAAAAAATTATAGGTCAACATCCCTGATGAACATAAATGCAAAAATTCTCAACAAAATATTAGAAAACTGAATTCAGCAATAAAAGATTATATACCATGATTAAATGGGATTTATTTTCAGGATGCAAGATTGGTTCAATAGCCACAAAATCAATTAATGTTATACATCGCATAAACAAAATAAAAGATAGAAGTCATATGATCATACCAATAGATGCAGAAAAAGCATTTGACAAAATCCAATTACCATTCATGATAAAAAAAAAAAAAAACTCTCAATATGTGGGAATAGAAGGAACATACCTGAACATAATAAAATGGACCCTATATATGACAAACCCACAGCTAACATCATACTCAACAGTAAAATGCTGAAAGCTTTTTCTTTAAGATCAGGAATAAGACAAGGATATTCACATTCACCACTTTTATTCAACATAGTATTGGAAGTCTTAGCCACAGCAATCAGACAAGAAAAAGAAATAACAGGCATCCAAATTGGAAAGGAAGTCTATGGCCATGCTACCCTCAACAAGCCCAAACCTGTCTGATCTTGGAAGCTAAGCAGGGTTGGGCCTGGTTAGTACTTGGATAGGAGACCACCTAGGAAGACCAGGTGCTGTAGGTGTAAACAATAAAAAAAAATAAGGGATTGTAAACTGACAAGGTCTTTGCAATCTGTGAGGTCAACTAAGGGTTGTCTTGCCTAAAAAAACAATTTGGAAAGGAAGATATAAAACTGTCTTTATTTGCAGATGACCTGATATTATAATAAAGAACCCTAAAGAATCCACCAAAAAACTATCAGAACTGATAAATAATTATCATTTCTAGAAATTAGCAGTATACAAAATTAATATTCAGAAATCAGTTGCATTTTTATACACCAATAATGAACTATCAGAAAGAGAAATTAAAACAATCTCATTTAAAATTGCCTCAAAAAGAATAAAATATCTAGGAATAAATTTAATCAAGAAGGTAAAAGATCTGTACTTGGAAAACTATAAAACACTGAAAAAAGAAATTAAGAAAATACAGATAAATGGAAGGATATATTGTGCTCATGGATAGAAAGAAAAA